TATTGAGCCCTTCCCTCGGGACTGCGCAGTGCCGGGACTGTGGGGTACTGATGTGAGACAGGATACAGGAACCCGTACCTAGGACCCCTCTGCCCTGATGGGGAGATGAACCTCACAGGGTCTACACAGGAGGGGTCCCAAGCTGTGACATCTAGGCCCAGTTCAGGGGAAGGATGGAGCCTTGATGGCGAAGGAGGGAAAAACACATAGTCCAGAAGAGTGGGTGGAGGGGTTGGAGAGCTAAGGTGCACAGTGGGGTTGGGGGTGGCTGTGAAGGAAAAAAGCAGAATGGAAGCTGGATATTAGAACCTGGTGATCTTTCTTTAAAGCAGTCAGTTCCTTCCCGCCCTGCATTAGCCCTGGGTTTCTGGTTCAGGCTAGCATGGGAATCCTGACAGCCGACTCGAGCCCACATGTTCTCCTCGTTGGTGGTTCTTTACGAAAGCTACCTAACGATGTGCATGGGATCCAGGGGGATGGCACCGATGAACCTAGACGCGGGGCAGCCGTGGAGATGCAGCTGTGGCAGGGACATGTGGACACAGCGCGGGAGGGAGCAGATGCCATGAAGCGGGAGAGTCGCATGGAAACATGTGCCCTGCCACGTGTGAAGCAGACGGCCGGGGGATCTGCTGTGTGACGCAGGGACCTCAGACTGGGAACTCTGTGGCAGCGTGGCGGCGGGGGGAGGCACGCTCAGGACGGAGGGGACACACGGATACCTGTGGCTGATTCATGTCGCTGTGTGACAGAAGCCAACACAACACTGTAAAGAAATTATCCTCCAATTAAAAGTAAATAAACTTATTTTTTTAAAAAAGAAAGCTATTGACAGACCAGAGAAGCTGTTAAGCTGCAAGAAGTAGATGAAATGCTCACCAGAGCGATTTAAACCTGGTCAGATAACCGTGGGGCTTGAAAACACTCAGAAGAAACTCCCCCTTGCTCATCTGTCTGTAGCCTTGCCTAGGAAGTGTACACTCGTAACCATCCTACTGTGCCGTTTACATCCACGAAGTTACCCTTCCCAGACTGCCTGTGACAACCCAGCCTGGAAGGGTGTGGCCTTTTAGTTTAATGTTCTCTCCCCTGTGGTGTGTAAGCTTTCTTTTCTTTTTTTAAACTACAGTTGATTTACAATGTTGTGTTAGTTTCAGGTGTCCAGCCAAGCGATTTAGTCATGCGTGTGGGCTCAGTCGCTTCAGTCGTGTCCAACTTGTGACCCCATGGACTGTAGCCCACCAGGCTCCTCTGTCCGTGGGATTCTCCAGACAAGAATACTAGAGTGGGTTGCCATTTCCTCCTCCAGGGGATCTTCCCAACCCGGGGATCAAACCTGTATCTCCATGTCTTCTACATTGGCAGGAGGGTTCTTTACCGCTAGTGCCACCTGGGAAGCCCATATATATGTGTGTATTATATATATGTATATGTATGTGTGTGTGTGTGTGTCTGTATTCTTCAGATTCTTTTCCATTAGAGGTTATTAAAAGATATTGAACATAGTTCCCTGGACTATATTGTGGATCCTTGTTTATCTGTTTTATATACAGTAGGATGTATCTCTTAATTCCAAACTCCTAATTTATCACTCTGCCCTTTCCCCTTTGGTAACCATAAGATTGCTTTCTATGTCTGCGTGTCTGTTTTGTAAATGAGTTCATTCTTATCCCTTTTTTAGATTCCGTAAGTAAGTCATATCACATGATACTGGTCTGACCTACTTCACTTAGAATGATAGTCTCTAGGCCCATCCGTGTTGCTGTGAATGGCCTTATTTTATTCTCTCCTGTTAGCATTAATCTCAAAACATTTCATGCAAGGTGGTAATGGTGTGGTGGTTACAGAGGGGAGAAAAGCCAGCAAAAAGACAGGAAGGCTAGAATCACACTGTCCCAGCAAGTGGTGGGGGGATGGAGGGATGGAATCAGACAGGCAGCCAGTGGGGCCACCCGAGTGGACATGGACCCCACCTCCCAACCCCTCCTCCACTGATTCCACTCGACTGAACCTGGGTAGTAGGTACCTGGGCATTTGTTATCCTCTTCTCTCTACTTTTTTGTCTATTCGAAAATTTCCATAATAAATAATTTTAAAATTGCCTAATTGATTATCATGGAAGCAGATGTACCAAGTTGTATTTAAGATGTATTTAAAAGGTATTTGTTAAAAAAAAAAAAAGGTATTGTTGCTTCTAAAGTATCTCAAGGTTATTTTGTTCAACTGAAGACCCTGATGGGATGGACACATGAACAGATTGTATGAATAGACAGATGGAGGGATGGATGGTCAGACTGCCGCTAAAACAAAGACTGGTTTTGGGGGCCCTGTCACTCAACTCCAGAGAGCACTTACCTGCCCAGTTTTAAAGTACCAACCCTTTCTGATTCCATCTTTGATTTTCCTTCTAAAGTCAGATCCCGTGTCAAGTCAGACAGACAAGATGCTTTTCTTTCCACCTCCTTCCAGATTACTGACATCCCTGAAAGATGCGAAGTGCTGACCTCTAGATGAATGGCTCCATAGCCTGTCACCAAACCCTCCAATGACCTGTTTCCAAACAATAGGCTCTAGTTACATCCTAAACGTGGGTGTTTGACACTATTAGCGTTTCCTGCTGTTCTTCTCCATCCTGACCCTTTTCCTTTAGGAAATTAATGGAGGTCTCACATTCACTGGATCCATGGTTAATCCCCACTTGTTAAACTCCTATTGTGTGCTACTAAAACTCAGCAACAACGGAACCTGCCATGCCTTTTTCGTGGTTCTCAGAGGATTTGCTGTTACACAATGCTTATGTGAGGAGAGTGGGTTTTCAAACCCTTTGGGGTACATGTTCCAGAGGGGTGCTGGAACGGGCTCATCCAGGCTCCAAAGACCTGGCTATGGTTTCCCTTCCCAACTCCATGTTCTGTGATGCTAAACTGGCGGCTTGAAACCAGCTGGAGTATTTACACCACAAAACTGCACATTCTCCAAATCAAGGTTTCTCCCCTCTCACCTCACAGAGCCAGTTGTTAAACATTTACCAGGATACAGCAAACTTTTTGCATGTATTACCCCATTTTCTCTCTACACTACCTCTTAATGTAAACGATTTACTCATGAGAAAAGCCAGGCAAAACCAGCAAGAGACAGGACAAGACAGTAAAACCTGCAGCCCAGTGCTCATGGTTCCAAACCAGGTCCTTCCTGCTCCCCGACACTCCCGCAGCCCCCCAACCAGCTCCTCCCCACCTGCCTAACTGTAATCGGCTCTCTTTCTTTAGCTTTGGCTGCACTGGGTCTTCACTGTGGCCTGAGGGCTTTTCTCTAGTTGCAAGGTGTGGGATCTGGAGCGTGTGGCTTCTCTACTGCAGGGGGCGCTTAGCTGTCCCGTGCCATGTGGGATCTGAGTTCCCCGACCGGGGATTGAACCCACGACGCCTGTATTGGAAGCGCAGAGTCTTAAACACTGCACTGCCAGGGAAGTACCTCTCCTTCTTTACTTCTCATCTTTTCCCTTCACTTTTTCCAACCAGACTTTAAGAATAAGAAATAACAAGATAGAAGATGAAGTGGAAAAGGGGCAGGCTATGGCTTTTTTAAAATATAATTTTTTTAAAGTAGATGACAAAGGTGGCATATAACCTAGAGAGCAGCACTTGTCATGGGGTCTATTACTGATTAAGACCCTCACAAGCTAGCCCGGGGAGCTTCACAATACGTATTGAAAAGGGTGAATTTGGGCAGTGATAACAATTAAAAAGCAGAGACATTACTTTGCCGACAAAGGCCTGTCTAGTCACAGCTATGGTTTTTCTAGTAGTCATGTATGAATGTGAGAGTTGGACTATAAAGAAAGATGAGTGCTGAAGAATTGATGCTTTTGAACTGTGGTGTTGGAGAAGACTCTTAAGAGTCCCTTGGACTGTGAGGAGATCCAACCAGTCCATCCTAAAGGAAATCAGTCCTGAATATTCATTGGACGGACTGATGCTGAAGCTGAAACTCCAATACTTTGGCCACCTGATGCGAAGAGCTGACTCACTGGAAAAGACCCTGATGCTGGGAAAGATTGAGGGCAGGAGGAGAAGGGGACGACAGAGGATGAGATGGCTGGATGGCATCACTGACTCGATGGACGTGAGTTTGAGTAAGCTCCAGGAGTTGGTGATGGAGAGGGAGGCCTGGTGTGCTGCAGCCCAGGGAGATTGCAAAGAGGCAAACACGACTGAGCAACTGAACTGAACTGAATAATTATTCTAAAGACCAGCAGGATATTAGAAATGTAAAGAATTATTATTAAACAATAGAGACTGTAGATAAGAGACCAGAAACCCAGAGCCTTGGGATTTATAATTTGTCTCCATGCATGCTAAGTCGCTTCAGTCGTGTCTGACTCTGTGCGACCCCACAGACAGCAGCCCACTAGGCTCCTCTGTCCCTGGGATTCTCCAGGCAAGAATACTAGAGTGGGTTGCCATTTCCTTCTCCATCTCTCTCCATAGATCTCTGAATTTTCTTTCTTTTTTCATTATCTGACCATCCAGGTGCCATGAAAAATAGGAAGATGATCTATTAGAACCCCCAACTTGGATTCTCCAGGCTGGCTCCCATTTTATATAATTACATATTGTATCAAAACCTTAAATTTGTACTTCCTTATGAAATGTTACCTAGTCATTGGATTTTCATCTTTTCATAACCCTTTTCATATAACCATTCACAGTTTTTAATATGATTTATGAGGTAGGCTCTTTGGTTCAGGAAACACAGCCTCTGTATGGGGACAGTCCTGACCCAGGGCATTTGTGGACAGCTGCAGGAACTGGCTGTAGTTTGTGATTCAAACAGGGTGAGCTTAGAAGAAGCAACTGCCTCTTTGGGCTCAGAAGGCTCCAACCAACTACCTTGCAGAGAAACAAAAAGAGATTCAAACATTTACTAAAGAGGACAGTTTCCATTTACAGGTGGCTGTGGGCAGACTACAGTGAAGCGACGTTTGCACTGCATCACCCATGAGGCACAGTGGGGACATGACTCGCTCCAAGTCATCCAGCTGCAACGGCATCTCCGGCCAACTTGAAAGGCGATGCCCATCTTCCTCCAAAACCTGTGTTCTTTCCTCGATGCCCTGGTCTCAGATTACTGGGAATAGACTCCTGAAGAACCAGGAAGACGCTCCCAAAGAAAGCAATGAGTGGTCCCCCGTGATCCTCCCTCCAGCATGGCCACCCCACACTCTGCAAGCTCTTCCATTTCTATCTTATCAGTTCCCAGGACAGAGCATGTCAACATCAGAATCAGATCCTAAAAGGGGGCTTACATAAAATGTCTAGGGCCAAGCCCTCACTCAGATCAACTGCATCAGAATATGTGGACGAGTGTCCTAAGTGCAGTATTTTTTAAACTTTCCTTAAGTAATTTTAACATGCAGCCAGGATGGGGAACCATGGTCTCCGAGCCACACACAGTAGCTCTCTTCCTGGGCCACACAGGTTCTTACATTTCCCAGCTCTGTCCCAGGCCAATCAGATCTGAATCAGCGAGTGTTGTCTTTTAAACCACATTACTCTACAGTCTACTGTGGGGTATTTTTAGAATCGCTATGCTTTGTTACTATGTTTTCATTAGTTAATTTATGGGACATATTTTGATCATTATTATTTTTCATTGTTGTTGTTGAGGTGCTAAGCCATGTCCAACTCTTTGCGACCCCATGAAGGTAGCACGCCAGGCTCCCCAGTTTCTCACCATCTCCTGGAGTTTGCACAGATTTATGTCCGTTGTGTCAGTGATGCTAACCATCTCATCCCGTCGTCCCCTTCTTTTCCTGCCCTCAACGTTTCCCAGCATCAGGGTCTTTCCTGATAAGTTGGCTCTTTGCAGCAGGAAGCCAAAGTATTGGAACTTCAGCTTCAGCATCAGTGCTTCCAATGAATAATTCAGGGTTGATTTCCTTTAAGATTGACTGGTTTGATTTTGTTGTCCATGGGACTCTCAAGAATCTTTCCCAGGACCACAGTTAGAAAAAATATCAATTCTTCAGTGCTCAGCCTTCATTATGGTCCAACTCTCACATCTGTACATGACTACTGGGGAAAAAAAATAGCTTTGACTATACAGACCTTTGTCAGCAAAAGTGATGCCTCTGCTTTTTAAATGCTGTCTAGGTTTGTCATCGAGTTTCTTCCAACGAGCATCTTTTAATTTCATGGCTGCAGTCACCATCTGCAGTGATTTTCGAGCCCAAGAAAAGAAAATCTGCCACTGTTCCAACTTTTCACCCTTCTATTTGCCATGAAGTGATGGGGCTGGATGCCATGATCTTCGTTTTCTGAATGTTGAGTTTTAAGCCAGCTTTTTCACTCTCCTCTTTCACTGATAAAGAGGGGGGAAAAAAAGAATCTCTGCGAGGGGCCTAGCCTTGGTTTCTTAGGCTCCCCACCTTACGGCCACAGGCACCTGGTGGGGAATCACTAAACACAGTGCTGTCCCTGCGGGCAGAGACAGCACACAGGCGCCAGAGGTCTCATGAGGAGCCCGGCCAGAGCTCCTATTGTTGGAAAGGAAATTCCTTGAGGCCCAGCGGAAAGCCCGCCTACAGTGGAGAAGCCATCAGAAGCCCACATCCTCGGAGGCGCCCCCAGCAAGGCGGCAAGAGAGACAGAGATAGCAACAATGACTGTGAACACTCATCCGGCACTGTGTGTGGGCCGTTCCGAGGGCTCTGCACAGAACTCATTACTTCTCACTGCAGCTGTCTGTGAGTCAGGAGTACAAAAGCGACAGCAATGAAGAGGGGTCTGGGGTACTACAGCCCAGTGACACTCATCTCAAAGAAACATGGGTTTTTATACAATAGCGGAATAATGGGCTGAAGGCAGTAATTGGGAATAAGGATACATATTTTCTGTGAGAAAATAAACAGCCTCCACTTGAAAAACCCACATAATGGGTGGAGATCTCAGTTAAGGTCAAGAGAAAAGGAAATGCTGAGGGCAGAGACGGAAGATGTGTAGAACTATGATAACCATATCTCTTGACCTAACTATCCTAACTACGATAACCATAACTACAATAAATCTTGTGAGTCCCTTGGACTCTACAAGAGATGGAACAAGTAAATCCTAAAAGAAATCAACCCCGAATACTCATTGGAAGGACTGATGTAGAAGCTGAAGCTCCAATACATTTGGCCACCTGATGTGAAGAGCTGACTCACTGATGCTGGGAAGACTCTGAGGCAGGGAAAGTCTGAGGCAGGAGAAGAAGGGGGTGACAGAGGATGAGGTGGTTGGATAGCATCACCGACTCAATGAACACGAGTTTGAGCAAACTCTGGGAGATAGTGCAGGACAGGGAAGCCTGGTGTACTGCAGTCCATGGGGTGGCAAAAAGTCAGACACGACTTAGCAACAGAACAACAAATAACCAAGGAGTGGAATATTCCCAGAGGGTAAGTTGTACAGAATAAAAGGAAGAGGCACAGAGGGAAGCCTAAGAAAAACAGATAATGAGGATGAAAGTCTGGCTGAGAACAAGCCAGAGGGGTTATGTCTTAAGTGGTCACTATGAAATGGGCCACAGCTCTGTCAAGAGGCTTAGTCCCAACAGATCCTTGGTGGATTAGGATAGGGTGAGGATAGGTGAGCTGGCTTTCAGAATTCAGCAATGGTCCAGACAGAAGTCCTTTTAAAGGTAGTCTTAGCTTCTGATAATTAGAAAATCTCCAACCAGTCCGAAATCAGCTGTGGGAACTGATGATATGGCTGCAGATTCAGGGACTCCCAAGAGCCAAGGCTAACACATAATCCAACTCAGGTGATACAAAGACACTTTAGCAACTTGAATATAAAGAAGGTTCACTTAATCACAACTTGTATGGGTGTGTGCTCAGTCTCGTTCAACTCATTGTGATCCCACGGACTGTAGCCCACCAGGCTCCTCTGTCCATGGGGTTTTTCAGGCAAGAACACTTGGGTGTGTTGCCATTTCCTCCTCCAGAGATCTTCCTGACCCGGGGATCAAAACTGTTTCCTGCACTGGCAGGCGGATTCTTCACCACTGAGCCACATGGAAACTTTAGAAATAACATCCACACGTTCAGGAGGAAGGAGGTAGAGCTAGTAGGTATGCTATTAGTAATTAAAATCATTTTAACAAATTGTTAAGAACCAAGTCTATTAATGAGACCGTCCAGGCTATTTCATAGCTAAAAACGTACCAGACCTCATTAACTCTTCTCAGAGGAGTCACCAGGCATTGAAATCCATTGTAATTCCTAAATTTTGTAGCTACTTAAATCTACAGTGTCCAAACATCTTTATTCCACAACATAGTAAAAAACTAGAGACACGTGGCCACTCAGTCGTCCAGTAACAATTCTCACCTCAAGGCCTTGAGCCTGTGAAGTCCTCCTGGAACGTTCCTCCCACCAATATCTGATCAGCAAAGCTGTCCAAATGTCATTCCACTAGAAATGCTTTCTTGGCCCATCCTACTTAAAAACAGTAAACCCTTCCCAATCACGTATTTAGTGAAGAGTAATATACACCCTATCTCAAACTAATTACATGGTGTAATTAGTTTTCAGTTAACTGCTGTTTTATCTGCTTATCTTTCAATTTTTGAGAGAGGAAAAAGATGTATTAAAATCTGCAGTTGTAATTTGGTATTTCTACTTCTCTCTTCAGCACTGTATTTTTGCTTGATATAAACTAAGGTATAAGTAAGTGCATGTAAGTCAACAGTAGACATATCTTCTCATATTTTTATTGAGATGACTGAGGCAAGTTTCAGGTGTACAACACAATTCACTGTATGTACATACTGCAATATGATCATCACAGTAAGTCCAGTTAATACGTATCACTACAGTTAAAAAATTTTCTATTTTTTACCATTTAATTTTTAGTGTTAAATTTGTATTTTTATCAGTGTATAAATAATTCCTCTTTGCCACTGTATTCTGCATTAAATTCTATTCAAACTATTACTCCATCTTTATTCTGGTTCATATTTGCTTGCTGTGTTTCTATCTCCATGCTTTTATTTCAAGTGTATAAATAATTTTAATACAATCTAAAAATCTGAGTTTAACCCATTTATTGTCATCAGTGGTCCATCAGAATTTTTCATTCACTGTAATCTTTGTTCCTCTTTTTCTGCTTTCCACCAGATAAATTTTCTTCTTTTATATTTGTTTTATGATAGTTTTTAATAATCACATTTATGTTTGTGCATAGTGAAAAATTCATCAATTTCTTAATCTTTTCAATGTAAGGTCCTCTTAAGGCACTTCAGCTCTTACTTTAAGTCTGTACCTCCAACTCCAGCCCTGATGGTAATGTCTAGAATTTTAATTGTTACATTAAAAATAACTTGGTAACAGTAAACTCTGCAAAGTTACTTGATCACTCTTCTCGTTGTATCTCTAGGAACATCTTCCCGATTCTGTTACCTCTTAATATTGTTCCAAAAGCATTTTCTACCAGGACCTTTCTAAGGCAAATCTGAGGTTTCTATGATTAAGGATATTTTTAAATGCTATCATCTTCTAATGCTAATTTGCTTGGATATACAATTTTAAGCTCAAAGTAACTTTCCTTCAATCCTTAAAAAGCCTTTCAATCTTCTTACATTCAATAATGCTTTTCAGAAACCTGATTTTTCTTCACAGTAATTATCACTACCTGACATTAGATAAAAATTTGTTTGCTCTCCCCTACTAAAATATAAACTCCAGGAAAATAAGGACACTTTTGTTCACTACTGTGTTTGTCATACCTGGAACGATGTCTGACACATAGAAGATGCTCAATAAAACACAGACTGAATCATATAGCTTTTCACCCTGTGGGCTTTGCCTGCTAAATGCATTCCTCAAGGAAGAAACCAGGGATTTCCTAGCAGTCCAGTGTTCAGGAGACTCAGTGCTTCCACTGCAGAGGGCACAGGTTCCACCCCTGGTCAGGGAAATAAAACCCACAAGCCATGTGGCACGGCCAAAAAAGAGAGAAACCACAAGAAACCTAAAGTCAAATTCTGAAGTCATGACACAATCACACAAATCTGCCTTTTCCTATCTGTTCCGATAAACCTGGCAAGCTCAAAGGACTTTTCATGCCGAGACTAGAGATCTCACTAAGTACTTGGCTCTCAGATGCATCTCCTTTAGGTTTATCATTATTCTCCTGTAGCTTTCCAAAACTAAAAGGTCCTCTGCCAAACTTGGGATAGGGTGGAGGGACACGACTGAGGGACATGATACAAAACCCTCACTAAAAAGGATCCCTATCTACAGTCCAGGTTTGCCCCACTTACACTCTAAAAGTGGGATGGGAGTAAATAGATACAATCTCTACACACAGAGGAACATACCACTGGATCTCACCAATCCCAGTGTCACTCTCTTCCTGCCTTCCACACCTTAAACCTAACTGCCCACATCTCCACTGTACCCACCCTACGTAACTCAGAAACTCCAACGATCCCAATGGAATCCTTTTTAAAGACTGCTGTTGAAAGCACAATTTCCACGTAAATTATGATTAACTGGCATCTTTTAAAGAAATGGCACTTACTGACAGTAACATGACAAATTACATGTTTCCCAGGGTATTTAGTGACAAAGATAGCCTACTTCTAATATTATTAAAACACTAAAAAGAAGCCAAGCTGTTGTGGCACTAATACTGGTAGGTGGTTATTTTTTAAAAAATAAACTTGTAAAACTAAGATAATTTTGTATTCTCTCAAAGAAAAACACTTTGCAAAAATATTTTGATAGTGTAAAGCAATAAAAAAAACCACAAATAAGCAATTTTGATAGTATGAAGCAACAACACAAACACAAGTAAGTACAAAATAATTTATTATAGCATTATATAGGTTGGCATTATTTTACACTGAATTCTTTTCCCTCAACAATTATGAATCTAAATATTAACTTAGCGTGAAGGAAAACAATTTTAACTAGAACAGTTTCTCTAAATAAAATCTCTTTTGAATTTATATTTGTCTTAAAAGGAAGTATTAAAGTTACAGACATATGGTTCTGGAAAAAACATATTCAATGATGCTATTACTGTTTTCTGTACAAGATAGAACAAAAGCTATCCCCCCCTCCTAAATATTGCTCAACAACACTATGTTTTAATAGTTACACTGTTGCAGGGAGGAAACCAATTCTGACTCCATGTTGGAAATGGTTTCTTTGACTTGCTTTTGTTATGATTATACTTAATGGCTTGGCTGGAGGACCCTGGCCCTGTGCTTGCCTATAAACTAAAGTGCCTTTGTTCAGAACCCTGTCTACCTGCAGATGGCTGAAGGGGGAAATTAACACATCCCCTGACTGAAGCCTGCCATTCTGGAAGATGTTTGCAAGACTCAGAGTCTTTTTACTTTGCTTCCTCACCTCCCCCCATCTCTGACCTATAAAAGAATCTGGCATCCAGACCCTGTGAGATGGTTATTTGAGGCCCCAGGCCTGCCATCTGCTCGGTCAGTTGCTTTCCAGATAAAGTCTCTTCCTTGTCTCAACAGCTCGTCTCTGGGATACACTGCCCTGTCGTGTGGCAAGCAGAGTGAGCTTGGACTCGGTAACAGAACTAGCTGATGGTCTAGATTCCCCTTTTGCTGATATTAAAACGTATTTAATAGTCAGTGTATAGCTATAAGAGTAAAAACACCTCACTGAAAGTTGTCTTCTGCCCCATACGCCCTCCTGAAGCACACCACTCACATACAGACTACTTAGACTACCTGGGAACACACAAAGCAGTTCAGTTAAAAAAGCGTAATTCTCGCCTGTGGATCTTCAAGTCTGACCTAGATATGCTACAAATTCACCACTGAATTTTCATGATTAAGAGGCAAATGGATCCCCAAACCCTGAATCATCAACATAAAACTGCAGTACCCTTATTCAACAGACAATAGCATTTTCATGGATATTAAGAAGAAAACGGCACATCAGAAAAAAATTAAGGTGGACAAAGTATCACACTAAAGTTAAGCTTTAAATAAATATTTGCCAAAAGGAGTTCCATACCATTTCTGACATACAGTTAATACTTGAATGTTGATGTGCTTTAAAAAGCAAACAGACAATAACAAAGCAAACCAAGAAGGGATCAAAACATAGAATTCTGAAATGAAACCTGAATCTAAAGAAAATAATACAGTGGAGCTGGATTCAACTTAGGTTAATTAAGAAATTATCATCGTTACAATATGAAGTGACAGCAACCATCACAATGCTAACAACGGAAAAATTTACAACTGTACAAGAACAAACAGGTAATTTTAACAGATTTTTACGTAAAGTGGCAGAGTCAGGTAAAGAATAAAATAAGCTTACAGAATACTCCATTCAAAAAAACGATATCCAATCACAGCTGACCTTTGCGCAAAGCAACAGTTAGGTGCGCTGACACTCCGTGTAGTCAAAAATACACATACACTTATAGTTGGCCACCTGTGCACACACAGTTCCTCCCTACCTGGGTTCTGCATAAGATTCAACCAACCGCGGACGACAGAGTAAGGTAGTATTTACTATGGAAAAAATCAACACATTAAGTGGATCCTTGCAATTCAAACCCATGTTGTTCAAGGGCCAACGGTATTTCATTTCTTATCTATATTAAAATACAAGCTGGAAAAAAAAATAAATAAAAAAAATAAAATACAAGCTGGAAAAGAAACCTTGACCTGAATTCAGCTTTGAGTCTAAGAGATGTCAACTTTCTAGAGGATTTCAAGTTTCATTTGCCAAGACATCACAGTTGGCTGTGTGGTTCAGAGCCGCGCGGTGACTGCCGAATTCGCTCAGAGTGGGCAGGAAAGCAGAAGTGAAGGGAAGCAGCTTGTGACAGGCCATCCTGTACTCCTCATACTGGGAGTTGCAGCTCCCGAAGCTGCCATCGAGCAGCGCCTCAGAAACCTTTATTAAAGTCTATGTAAACAAGTTAAAAATGAAAATTATTTAAAAAATAGTCTGGTTAATAATCACCTTAATCAAAAGATGTAGTTTGTTAATTAAGCAATAGAAAATCAAGAAGGCCTCACCCTAAAATAACTTCTTGCTATCTATAACAAGTAATCACCACAAAAAAGAACACTTAAAAAATCATTTCTATGAGGCCTTGAAAAAGCAACAGAATTCTAATACTTTAAAAAGGTGAATCTCTGAAACTATAATCATTTAAGTGAAGCTGCTCAGTCGTGTGTGACTCTTTGCAACCCGATGGACTGTAGCTTACCAGGGTCCATGGGATTTTCCAGGCAAGAGTACTGGAGTGGGTTGCCATTTCCTTCTCCAAGGGATCTTCCCGACCCGGGGATCGAACCCGGGTCTCTCACATGCAGGCAGACGCTTTACCCTCTGAGCCACCAGGAAAGCCCATAATCATTGAAAGTGTCCTTTATTAACAGTAATAGTTCCCATTTACTGAGTGCTTTACTACATGCCAAGCACCTCACAGTTTACTATTTCAGTTAACTGTTATGCTAACTCTGAGATGGACCATATTTTCATCCTCAACTTATAAATGAGGAAAAGGATGCTAAAGAGGTAAATTGCCTAACATGATACAGCTCACAGCGAGCAGAGCTGAGATTCAAATCCAGACGTAACTCTGAAGGCACACTCAGGAATTACGTTGCAAAGAGAAGTTTTGTTAGCTCACTCGGTATCCACAATCTGTGGCAATAGGCTGGTGAAAAATCTTACCTTTACATTTTTATCTTTTATAGTTTCATCCAGTCTAGTGGCAATAGCAATTGCTTTCTCTTGCCTTGACTTGTCCAGAAAATACATCATTTTAGCACCTGAAATGCCAAGACATTTCAAAACCAGTAAATGTGGACATCTTACATTTGATCTGAACCGACCAGTGACGTAAAATGTGGCTCCAGGTATCCAGTCAGCAGTGGGCTGCACACAACTGTGGCCTTTTTTCCCTAACTCCCTATTCCATGATATCCCACTGACAGCTTGGGGCCACAAGGAGAGTATTCGTACTATGTTTAGACACATACAAAAAAAGCCCCCTACCAATTGGGGCTTTTTCTATGATAAAAGATGGCTGTGAAACATTTACCAGGACCAGGGTTAACAACCCCACCCCTCAGAAATGTAAATATGGGCTACCCCTGTGGCATCAGTCAGTATTTCAACTAAAATCATTTCTGAAACATGACACTCTAAAATAGAACACCTAAGGAACAAACTGTTATCAAAGAGCAGTGTGATAGATGGACAACAAGAAAACCTTTGCATATTCATGAAGAAAGTAACTTTTAAAGCTATTTTGAAGTAAAATCCAATTTATGTTCCCCCTGTAAACTACATGGTCCATGTTCCTTTTTCTGCTGGTCTTTTATTGATTTGTATTTTTATTATTGATCTATTAGATTAGTATGTGTACTGCTAAATTTAATCAGTTACACATCTGTGAGTATTTTCCCTTCTTGGCCTTTTGATTTTCTTTATGGCTTTTTCTTTTTTAGTGAGGCAAAAATTATCTTTTTCTGAGAACATCACATAATGCTTAGAAAGGCATTTCCCATTATTATTAAGAACTATCTTCTTCCATTATCCTGTGTTTTTGATGAGAAATTCTCACCTGCCGTTACTACCAAGAAGTACTGTAATTTTTCATAGGAATTAACTTTTTTCATAGGTAACAGAACCAAGCAGTTTCCCTTTACAACAAGAAAGCTTAGGTTAAAATATTTAAATACGTGGCTTAAAGTAGGAGCATAGTTAATTACATTCTGTACTTCATTTATTTTGTTCCCAGTTCCGTTTAAAGTCTTTTTCTAGTTTGCATTTAATGCCACTTTGTCATTTTATGAACTTGTATAGACTGTCTAAAATCCTTCCTCTAACAGGGCAGAATATAGTAAGTCCTTAAAACACAAAATACATAAAGTAATAAAAATACAAGAAAAAATAAGTCTCACATAACCTCAACATTCAAAGTCAATCATTAAAGCTTTAATACACGCTTCTCTTTAGCTTTTATGCTATGTATATTTTTACATAGTTGAGACTGTATTATATATTAATTATATATATATATAATAAAAGTGCTCCTGTTATTACAAATCTTTTGAATAAATATCACTTTCTATTTCTATCTGGCAGTCCATCCTGCAGTCCTACTGCTGTTTCCCCTATAACTGGACATGCATTAAATTTGCTTCCATTCTCTTCCCCATCCTTAACACACAGAATTCCAGTTAATACCTTTGACCTTAAAACTCTTTCTTTGCTTGGATTCTTTAAAATTATTTACACAAGTATGTATAGCTATAGCAAAAGACAAAGTTCTTGATAAGAACGACAAACTGTTCTCCTACTTGGTCAGACCAATTCACACCTTCAGCAGTAAAATAAGAGACTGCTTATACACTACAGCTTTCCCATACTTGAGCCTCCTTTATTCAAACACGAATAACCTTTCCTTTTAGGTGGTAGGTTAGGTTAGAGATTTTTCTTATTTTCAGGGGAAGGCTTGTACTGCTATGAACTTCTCTCAAGAATTGCTTTGGCGGCATCCCATAGATTCTGTATGGTTGTGTTTAAAAATAATCTTTCCTAATTTGAAAGAAAATGGTACTGTGTTCCTTTCTTTTTCTCTGATAGTTTGATCATCTTGCCAAACTTTTTTTTTCATCATACTATAACTTTTTGCCATAAACATTTTAACCCCGGGAGCTAAACACCAACCTGAAAGTAGATGCTGAAGAGAGGCAGCATTATGTTTGAGAAAATCCTCATTAAAACTTTCCAAATCCTTGTTAACAAATATTTTCTGCATTTCCTGAGATAGAACTTTGCTCACGGTGTCTGGAAGATTACTGTGATTAGACACTATTAAAACAGAACATTTGCAGTTTACAGTATGTCTGACCTGTCCTTTGAAACAAAATCAATTGAAATGCATTCATATTCATTATTAAGCCTGATATATTTTACATAATAAAAACAGGAGTGCTCCTTTGGAATATAAAAACATTCCAGCTTAAAATGCACTAATTTCTAACATATCTTTGCTAGTATCTTCATTTAAGTACTTTGCAAACTTTTTTCTTTGTACTAATCTCTTTCATATGCAGCTTAATAGAAGACAAGTGAACTGTCATAATTACTTTTACATAAATATTACCTTTTTTATACTTACCAGATTTAGAAAATTTAATTAAACATTCATGTAGCCATGGGTTATTCCTGTTGATGGCAAACGCTCTTTTAACAGACTGCAGCATTAACAGAAACTTTCCTATGTCAGAAAAAATTAGAACAGTAACAGCATCAATATTTAAGTATGTTATTTTATTCCCTTTATTTTAGCCTCACTTAAAATTCAGAAATATAGTATTATCTTTCCTATAATCTTCAAAAGCAAAATTCAAAGTTGATTTTGGTTATCAGAGACAACTTTTATTTTCTAAAGAAATGCTTGAAAAATCATGAAGAATTACTTCAGGTAAACAATCTGTATGCCTGTTCAAATAATTCACTTGATCATAATATTCTAATCCATTACTCAGTAAAGTTTCGAGTAACAAAGGAAAAAGGTATTAAGAGCCTTTGTGGGAGGTTGAAATGAAGATCTGAGAAACAAAAAGAGATCTAACTCACAAACATTATACTGAATATGGTCACCAATAAAATAAAAAATGAAAATCTGAATCCAAACTATTACCTTTTCTAAAATATATTTCAAATGCTAATAGATGAGTGTCAATGTTATCAGCAACAAGGTTCTTAAGAGGTATAAGAAACTTGATAGCTTCTTCTAATGGATTTTCTATCTATTTTGAAACAGAAAGAAAAATTATTGTATTTAAAAAGCAGTCACACAAGTCAAATTTACCCCCAAATTTTATACTAATGCATAGCTGAAGTAATCTAGATAGTTCTTTTTATATAACCTAGAAGCAAGAAAAAAATTTAAAACTACCAACTATAAACAAAGTACTGTCAATACTTTTCAAAATGGAAATAGCTCTATTGTTTTCATGATTATAAAATTCAAAATAATTTTCTAAAAATAAAAAAATACAGAAAATTATTCTGTAGACTTAATGAAGTGGTACTACAAGTACCATTATGCTACCAAGCCCCTTAAACTATAGACATTTTAAAGTAAGGAGACAAATACAACTGCATGACATAATTGAAAAAAAGGCAAGTTTAAAATACTTATACTAGATTCACAGTGAATAAACCAAAAAGCTAAATATTTCCCTAAATCTGGTTCCTAAATAACTATTAATATTTTGAAAAAAATTGTGGAGATAAGGTCCTATTCTCTTTGCAGCTAAAACATTTTCTAGAAGAGTATATAAAATGCTGCCATATTTCACTGTATTGTTGCTCTAACAAATTACCAAAAATGTACTGTATTAACGCAAATTTAGGGATTTCTCTGGCGGTACTATGGTTAAGACTCTGTGCTCCCAATGCAGGGGGCATGCGTTCAATCTCTGGTTATGATAGGGACAAAGCAGGTGATTAAACAGCTAATCCCATGAGGGAATTTAAGTAGAAAAAATATGGGAGACCTCTTTAAGCTAATGATTACTCAAAGAAAGCAGGTTCACTTAACCACAAAACCAAGCAGCCTTGCTTGGCAGCAAAGCCATGCAACAGAAGCAAAGGATGTGCCCCGAAACAGTAAAAAAAAAATGGCGGCATGAGGCCCACATCCTGCCCAGCGAGTTCAGGGCCTCAGTGATCCCGGGGACATGCACACACACAAGAGTAATGTGTGCGCCGGGCTTGACCGTGAAGGGACAAGAAAAAAGTCCCTGCCCAACCTGGAGGAGGAGCAGGTGATGGAAGCACGGCCTCTGCGCGAGAAACACACAGGTCCTCTCCCTCCTCCTCACCCGCGCTTTGAGTTCCGAACTGCAGCCGACCACGTTCTCGGGCGTGGCACTACCCCGCCTGCACACCCGCAAGCCTCATGAGTGTCTAGTCTAACAGACCACTTTGCTCTTGCTCAAGTCTCTCTGCACTGAGACATACAGGACTGTGGTTCTGGAGTCCTTGGAGACCCTCAAATGACACCAAATGGTGTCAATTGGGCCACCAAGTTCTCTCCTGCCAAACGCTGCAGTCAAAACAAAACAAAACCCCACAAATTTATCTGACACGGTTCTGTAGGTTCAAAGTCCATCGTGGGTCTCACTGGACTGCATTTCCCCTTGGAGGTTTTAAGGGGGAGAGTTTCCACGCCTTTTCTCGGCCTCTTCAGGATGCCCGCCTCTCCTGGCTCGGGGCTCCCCCCTCCTCCAAAGGCAGCCAGAGGATGGAGTCCTTTCCCATCACTCAGCCCTCCTCACCAGCCTCCATCGTCTCCTTGAGGCCCCCTGTGATTAACTACACTGGGCTCACTGGGTAGTCCAGGAATCCTCTCCCTGTCCACGTTTTTATTTTTCAGATTTTTTTTTTTGGCTGCACCATACTTTAGGCATGTGGGATCTTAGTTTACTTGTCTTATTTAAAGGCCAGCTAAATAATAATCTTAAATTTCACCTGCCACCTTAATTCTACCATGTAATATTCATTCAGAGTTTTTAGGGATTAGAACATGAACCCTTTTGGAGGGCTATTATTCTGCCTACCACAAGCACAATTCTACCTATAACTTGCATTAGCCAAAACTCACATATTATCACTTAAAAATAACTGATGAGTATCATAATGATCTTAGCTAATACTACAAATTTGGCTTTTGATTTACAGATTCAAATAAATCATATTTATGGTCAGCACAGAATTAAATAATACAAATTTTATCAGATAAACACAGTGTATTCATCTCACCCTTTCTAATTTTTCAGGTATTAGTTCTTCTTTGAGACCACTACTGTCTTCTTCTTCATCCCGTTTTTTCTTTTGATTTTTTGGTTGATGTTCCCTTTCCACATGCTTTCTCTCTTCTTCTAATTTAGCCTTTTTCTGAGCTCTTCTCTGCTTGCTAAGCATTTTCTTCAATTCTTTGGCTGACAGGTTTTCTATAAATATTCAAATCAATGAAAACTCTGAGTCAATGTTCTCAATTTCCTCATATTCTTATTCAATGCATACTATTAGTATATATGGGCTTCCCTGGTGACTCAGAAGGTGAAGAATCCGCCTGCAATGCAGGAGACCGAGGTTCAATCCCTGGGTTGGGAAGATCCCTGGAGAAGGCAAAGGCTACCCACTCCAGCATTCTGGCCTGGAGAATCTCATGGATTATGGTCCATGGGGTTGAGAGAGTCAGACACAACTGAGCAACTGTCACTAGTATATTTGGGGGGGTGGGGAGGCAACTGTATACAAGTTTTTAGACAGTGAATTCCTAATGATTAACTTACACCTGGCACACCAAAGGCAACAGCAAATGCTGCATCAACTAAAATTAACCAGCTCTAGCCTAGCCCTTCCTCCTACACAATACATGGGCTTATTAGGCAAATCCTCTCTCTCAATCTCAAGTCCCAAACTGTATAAAGTGGAGTTGAAGATTATCCTTCTGGAAAAATTCAAGAAGTGAGACAAAGCACAAAGGCACAAGTGATCTGATCAGAAATCTGCTTTCATGCCATAATTTCTCAAATATTCTTGGGTATTGACATGTTAGTGAGTAAAAGGTTGTATTTAGATATTCTCATTGGCATTACTATTTTCAGTCAAGTAGATATTAGAAGCTGTACAAATATATTTTTTTCTCTAAAAACCTCAGTTATTTTCAATCACTACTTAAAAAAAAACAAAACAAACGGCCCATAAACATTATCAGTTACAGGACAACACCCTATCAACTCTTTCTAAGTCTTCCCCTACTTTTTTGGGGGTATATCCATTATCTAATTTTGCCTTCACACTCATTTGATTATACACTTTTCCATCATTATGCTAATGACATTCTGAAACTCTGTGTTCTTTCCAAGTCTCTTTAAGCAAGTCCCTTTTTAGTTACCTGAATTTCTCTCTTGTTGTTTGCTTTCACTGGTCAAGGGATTATCATACAACTTCAAGTATATTTCAATAGCTGATCTAGCGGCCTTGAAATAAAATCCATGTCTCCGGAGTATATCTTCTAATCTCAAAAGATCAACGTAGGCCCGAAGGGTCATCTTTCTCATGCAGTAAGTATGGAAGTCAAACTGATCGTCGGTTATCTCAGAAAAGTGCTTGAAAAGAAAACCACAAAGTTACTCCTTACATTTACGTCAATAACGTCTACTTTTTGAAAAGAAAATCATAAAAAGCCCGTAAGATAATGTAAGCAGTCACAATTTCACTTAGTTGCCCTCTCCAGGGTCTAACATACAAGGGACCTTAAGTGGTTCTTTGCATTCAGCTTAAGCTTCTCTTCCTTACATTCTATCCCCATTCCCTATAAATCAAGTTTCATGATGATACCCAATTTATATGCAGTAAGTCAGATGAGGGGAACTTCCTGGCAGCCTGGAGGAAGAAACAGCAACCCACTGCAGACAGAGGAGCCTGGCGGGCTACAGTCCATGGAGTCACAGAGAGCTGGACACAGCTGAGCACCAGCAGTGAGGACTTGGTGCTTTCCACCCTGGCTGGGGAACTAAGATCCTGCAAGCCATGTGGCACAGCCTAAAGAAAGAGTCAGATGCCCAGGTTATTCTTTAAACCTGGAAATTAGACTATATCAATATTTTAGTTTTAACAAATACTTCTCAGTATTCCCTCAAAATCAACAAGGTAGAGTTAAACAGAGCTGTGAATGGAAACTAAACATATACAGGTTTACACTGAATGTCTATACATCAGATGGTTCTACTCAACCATGAACTCTTCAAGGACAAGCCTGTCACATCCATCCCCACTCCCTGGCACAGGGCCTGGCACAGAAGACATTCAGTAAGCGCAGTATGTGCCAACTCAAGAGAGAAGCTGCTTTTCAGGCATGTGACTTCTTAATTCCTACAGCCTCAATTATTTAGCCTAAGTTAGGAATAAAAAAATATATAGAGCCAATCTCATATGTTGTTAGGGGATCAAGTAATTATTTTCAAGTTCATTCTAAACAGTAAACTGCTTTACAAGCAGAGTGTTATGGTTTTCTCTCACTCATTAAACTCCTGTTCATCTAACTATATCCCATTTTAGCAGAAAGTTCTTAATCTGGACTCTTGTGTATAAACAAGCACAGTAACATTTTCCTAAGGAGAGAGCCTGAAGGTTTCAACCAATTCTCAAAGGGTTAAGAACTAATCCCTTACATGAAAGAAAAGATGAGTAAATCCCCCAAAAAACAATTTATACTTTTATTTTCTTCCCTACGTGCATCTCCACCTCCATCTTCTTTCTTTTCCCCTACTTTAGCTTCTCCAAAAACATATAGAAAAATGAATGATTCATTACAGAAACACACATCAAACTCTTCTACTACTTCATCACCTCTGTCCTGGAGGCCTAGTAACTCATTGTGCAGAAAACACATTAGTAACTGCCCATATCATTCGATAATTTTAGTTGTCTTGGTAATTAGAAATACATTATACACAGACTTGCATTAAGAGCCTGATATTCTAAAATACTAACATAAAAAGAATAAACGTACACAGTGTGAGGGAAAGAAATGGGAGAAAAAATGACTATTTCACATTAGTTTATATTTACTACTTCACAAACCATGCTTTAATGTTATATTTGAAAGTTTCATTCCTCCCATCAATGAGACAAATCAAATAACTTTTTTTTAAATGAAGGAATTATATAATTGTTCATGGTTAATATAAATCAAGTGATACCTAGCAGTATAGTATCTCAAAATCCAATACAACTGACTGAGGAAAAAGGGCAGTGCCCTAAATCATGGAACACATAATGAGATGGAAATGTCTAAGAGGCTGCAGTTTTCTTAGAGTGAGAAACATTTATGTGTAAAAAAAAGGCAGATGCAAGCTTCAAGAGACATTCCTAGAACATTAGGTTTCAGTGAGGTCTCGAGGGAGCCGCGTGGACCCACAAACATGTAAGCCGCCTCTTTATCAGTAACCGCCCATAGGCTGCCTCTCTCCAGTCACCGTCTTCCAGAAACAAAGCAACCCACTTATCCTAGTGTGTCTGAGGCTTTCTCAGTTCTTGTGCTCAAAGTCCTGTGTCTCAGGAACCTGCTCGGGAATGGCAGATTCCTACTTAAGAGCAACTAAATCATCTTAGGCTGATTTTGTAACTTTTCATTTTGAAATAAACACGGATAAAGGAAGCTGCAAAGATGGTGCAGGGATGTCCTATATCCTCTTTCCTCAGTGTCCCCACCAGGTTACATCCTACAGTTAACCACCAGCACGAAGAACTGAGATGGGCTTGACGTGTGTGAACAGTTTCATGTGACTTTATCATCCTTAGATCGTTATAACTACAATGCAGGGAGCACAGGTTCAATTCCTGGGTGGGGAACTAGGATCCCACATGCCGAGGGGCCCAAGCCTGTGAGCCGGAACTGCTGGGTCCACGTGCCACAACTGAGAGAAGCGTGCATGCCGCAACAAAGATCTCGCATGCAACTAGGGCCTGACACAGCATAAACAAACAAACAAGTAAAAGAAGTAAGAGCTAGACCAACCAGGGCAAAGAGCAACTCTTAATTCCTTTATAGAGAATCTGTCGCTATAAAGTAAGTGTCAACTTGATAAAGATTAAGACACAATGAAGATAAAGTTACAGGCTTCCGTGTGGCTCAATGGAAAAGAATCCACTTGCCCATGCAGGAGACATGGGTTCGATCCCTGATCCAAGATCCCACATGCTGTGGAGCAACTAAGCCTGTGCGCCCCAAATACTGAGCTTGTACTCTAGGGCCCTGGAACTGCAACTGCTGGAGCCTGTGTGCCCTGGAGCCTGTGCTCTGCAACAAGAGAGGCCACCACAGTGAGAAGCCACGCGCTGCACCTAGAGAAAAAGCCCACACAGCACTGAAGATCCGGCACAGTCATAAATAAATAAAACCAACAGTAATAAAGTTACGAACGCCCTATGGTTTTGATCTACTGGAAACCTTAGATCTTATCAAAAGTTTTAGAAATATGCACTGCTCCTCTCAGATGTAAATCAACACACTAAAATAATGAGAAACTAATCACCTGGAAAAAAAAAGGGGAAAAAAGCTCAATTCTTAAAAGAAAAAAGTTAAAAATATTATTCTGAACACAAGTTTATAGCCAGTAGCCTGAAGGTGGTCATTCTGTCTTATTTTTAATAAAACGTAAGCTCTAAACATTGGATTGGGTTGACTACATAATCGCTACATGTAATCTTAAACCCTGTAAGGAAGGCAAGAAGAAGACAGAAAAAGTACTACAGTGGACCATTCTAAAATTCTAACATTTCAAATCCAATTAGTAAGAATGCAAAGCAGTATGTCCTAAGCTGAAACTGCCTTCAGTGAAAGAATTCTTGAAGGCAGAAGGACTCAGTTCTTCTTGGAACTTAGTTCTCTATTCAATAACCTTCTATTTAGAAGGTCAACAGCAAAATTATATATATATATAATTTTTTTTGCCACACAGAGCATGCAGGATCTTAGTTCCCTGAACAGGGATTCAAACTGTGCCCCCACTGCATTGGCAAAGCAGAGTCTTGACCACTGGACTGCCAAGGAAGTCCCCAAAGTTTTATTTTTGAATAAGGTGCTTGTTTTTTAACTAAAAAAATTTTTTTTCATTTATTTTTATTAGTTGGAAGCTAATTACTTTACAATATTATAGTGGTTTTTGCCATACATTGACATTAATCAGCCATGGATTTACATGTGTTCCCCATCCCGATCCCCCCTCCCGCCTCCCTCCCCATCCCATCCCTCTGGGTCTTTTTACTAAAATATTTAAAACCTAGGCACAAAGGTAACCCAAATAGGTATCTGTTGTATCTTTTAATTCTGTAATTACACCTAAATCCTTACAATTGTTATCATCAAGAATTTTCTTTTAGATTACATTAATGTTATTAGAAACTAATTTCAAGGAGCTCCCTGGCAGTTTAGAGATTAAGAATCAGCCTTCCAATGCAGGGGGACATGGGTTCCATCCCTGGTAAAGGAACTAAGACCCCACAGGCCTGGAGGCAACCACGCCTGCTCAAGACAGGGAGAGAAGCCAGCGCGCTGGAATGACCAAGCCTGTGCGCTACAGCCGTGCGTCACAACCACCGAAGCCACGCTTCACACGAGAAGCCCTCCCGCTACAACTAGAGAAGCTTCTCTGCGCCATGACAAAGGCCTGGTGCAGCCAAAATGAGAGAGAGAAGTTAATTATTTCAGAAGCATTCAATCACCCTATTTGTAATCTATACTAATGTTTTTCCTTTTAGCATGAATTACTCACTATAGAGATGACCTTACAAGCAGAATATGAATAGGATCTTTTCTTGTTTATCTGCCTCTGGTTATATTTTGAAGTACCAACAGCAAACCCTAAAGATACTTAGTAAAGTTTCCAATGAACCAGAGGGCAATGATTTCTACCATCTCTGATAACCAGCGATTGCCTATAATTTTTTTTCCTTCAAAAATGCTTTCTACCAGTCAAAGCACATCTCTCAAACTGGAAACACGGTTGACCCTTGAACAAGGCCACGCGGGCCCACTGACATGTGAGTTTCCCAACAGTGGATACTGCAGCACCACATGGCCACGGTTGGTTGCACCCACGGATACAGAAGCAGGGACACATGGGAACCACGCATACAAAGGACCGACTGCAAGTCACAGGGAGATCTTCAATCTCCCAGAGGGTTGTCACCCCAACATCCACTCTGCTCCAGGGTCAATTGTCGTTATTCAAAATCACTAAAAACTCAGGAGAAAGCATAATCTAAATGAAACTTAGTAATGGAATAGCTAGTAATCATAGCCTAACAATGTTTTAACAAAAAACATTAAAAAGAATAAAGTAGTCACTAATGTTAGGAGGAATGGGACTACAGATGAAGAAGTTCCCAATGATCCCAAGGTGTTCAAATCTGATTTCCACAGAAGTCCGATCAACCTCTAATTACTGTCGTGCTGGAAGAACTCATACGTGAGTTTCAAGCTACAGCTCCTTGAGAATGTCCTGGGTAATAGAAATGCATCTTTCCCTAGTAACGAGCAGAATGTTTTTAAAGTAACGATTGTCTAGGATGTCAAAACAAGCTAGTGATCTATGGTTTGGTCACAGAAATAAGAGCCTGACTTAAACTTAGGATGCTTAGATATTGCCTGAATAGTTCACCTATCATCCAAAGGCTTTACAGTTTCTGAGAAGATGACAAGGGTTTTCCCTGACAATCAGCCATCAAGTTTAGGCTTAAAAAGCAAAGAACAAAACAAAACAAAGCAAAAACCACCCTATTTCTGAAAGGGCTCTAGTGGAATCCTAGTTCCAGCTCCCGACCAAAGCCACCCCCAAGAGGTCCAGCCTTCCTCTGGGCAACTTCACAACTGTCACGTGGGGAAGAAGGCCAAAGTGCTGCCAGGGTGCAGACCGCAGGCTCACCTGACTGCGCCAGCTTGGGGCGGGGCTGCCGAGTGACCCCCGGCCGAGGGCTGCCGAGGCCTGCCTCGGGGGTGCATTGCGGCTCTTTTCCTCCCGTGGTCCATTTGGAAGGAGAGTGCTTCAGAGATGACAAAGAACAGGAAAACAAAAATTCACACACAAGGAAAAGAAAAGCCCCCCTTACTAAGGCACATCGCACACATGATCCTAGCAAGTCATAACATAAGCCTGCAAGCCAGCCACACGTTGGGTACAAAAGTGCAGCAGGTGAAAACAAACATCCTGGGAAGACGAACTGGAGAGAGGCTGACTACAGAGCAGATCCTGACACAGAGCGAAAAGAGGTGGCCCTCGGCTTGTGCATCTTTCCAGGCTGGGGATGGAAATCAAGTAACGGTCCGATTAGGAAAGAGAAATTTTGAGTACATGTTAGTAATAGCAACAATAACTTAACTAATCCTTCTCTTCTTGCTTCAGACAAAAATATGCAGACATGTCTACCTCATTACCACCTGACAATCCAAAGAAAGGAATCATTTATTCACAATTTCTGAATGTTTGAAAGGCTAAAGATCGAGAATTTTTTCACAGTGAAGTGTTCCAAAGTCGTTAGAAGAGGCAGATGAGCCCATGTAGCAATCTACCTGCTCTTCTGGTCACCTGACAGGAGAAAAATGAGGCCCAAACTCTTGTTAACTTACCCTTTCTACTTCATGGCACTTTTTCAGAGCATCCCCGTACCTTCCCAGGCGCTGGTAAGCTGAGATGCACTCTGTCTGAAACCACATGCACTGCATCTCATTTAGGTTCTCCATGGCAGACATCCCTTCCTGAAATGGAAGCAATCACAAATAAAGGAAGCAAACAATACAAGAGATCCTAAAAACCCCGTTTTCTCTTTTACAACAATGTCTACGAGGATTACGGTAACAGTAAGTAGCAGTGACAAATTATATAATAAACTCATCAATGTGCTTCCAAAAGGCTCCTAGCACCTTAAAACTGTATGTCTATTCACCCAGCTCTAGAGACAGTCAACAACCTACACAGAAAAGACTACAGGTTACTGAAGCCAAGTTTGAAACACTAAAGCTTTTATTTAATCTATTTAAGACAGGGATCCTATGAAGCACTGCCTATCTTTTGTCTATTAAGCAAAAGCCACTTAACCTTTTCCTTGCTGACTTAGGACCACTGCTATTTACAACATTGTTTTCAAATCTCTTCATAGTAGTTTCAAACCCGGTTTTCAGCTTTGCAAGTCTCCTTCCTCCACATCAAGGCATCAGTTGTCACTTCCTTTCACAACTATGTCTATGAGGATTAGTATGACAATAAAGAGTAATAATGAATTATATAATAATACATTAAAAATTTTTTAAATAAAAAGAATATTCATTAATTCAGGCTCAGTGTGTTTTCTAGGAGAATGTAAAGCACAGAGTACCTGGTTTCAGCACAGGGACACTAGTGCTTCGTCACAATTTAGAACAGTTATTTAAAATGAATTTTATGTGACCCCAAGAAAGACAGCAAAGATATGGGTATATTTACATAAGTTTAGTCTTCATTTCTTTTTCACACCCACTGTTTAAGTTATCAGTTTAATTTTCAGAATTCTCACTGAAAAGTATAAAAACCAGTTATCTCTGGGTAAATTAAAATTATGGTGGTATTTTATGTCTTCTTCATGGCTACAGATACTCCATCATTTGATAACTACATATGTTTATAAGAAATCTACCGTATTTTTCATTTCAAAACTCGACCAACTAGAACTAACCAACCTGCATCAGCAACTCTACAAATACTATAAACTGAAAAATCCGCACGAAGGAAATAGGAGCATTTCACTTACATGTTACAAAGCAGATATAAACTGATACCGCAGTCATCAGCAGCTCTCCTCCCCCGGCTCACTGCTACCCACCACCATTAGGGACACGCCTGGCCAGCGAAGCAGCACGGATAAACTACCAAGCTCTCTACATGGCACAGCAACCTGTCAACGGTGGATGACTGGAGGCAACTATGATGAGCAAGGTGAGCCCGACTTTGGGGCCACTACTTTCCTCAGAAAGCTCAACTTCCCCCTTCTTTCTCATTCTCCTGGGTCTTTTCAGACATGTCCTAGTTGGCTGTGGTTTGCTGCGTGGGTGCTTTGCTGTTGTTGTTTTTTAAACCACTGAACTTATTTAGCTTAAATATCCTCATTTCTAATTGCACTTTACTTCTCATCTCTACAGGGCCTCCCAGGTGGCTCAGTGGTAAACAATCTGCCTGCCAACGCAGGAGACACAGGAGACAGATTTCGATCCCTGGGTGAGGAAGATCCCCTGGCGAAGGAAACAACAACCCACTCCGGCACTCTTACCTGGAAAATCCCATGGACAGAGGAGCCCAGCAGGCTACAGTCCATGGGGCTGCACAGAGTCGGACACGACTGAAGCAACTTTGCACGCACACACCAGAAGCACATGCACACTCATCAACCACAGTAAGAAATCACACTCAGCATATGAGCTAAACAAGATTTAAAAAAGGATGACAAAGGTGAATTCCGAGGAACCATAGCAACAAACTTCACATATCACCAGAGAACTTAAGTTTAATTTTACTAACTCAGACAATGACATGCTATTTCTTACCCTTGTGAACTTGGAGCACATTTCCTCTGCTTCCTTTATCATATTTGCCCGAAGCATATATTTTGCACATTTGGAATTGATGAATCTATCAGCCGTATCCAAAGACTGAGCTTCATCCATCCACTTGACAGCTTCTCTGAGATTACCCATATGCTTTAAGAGATGAAAGTATTAAAGACATCTCTGTTATGATTCAGAGAATATGGGTATGATATAACAGAAAAAGTTCTTAAAGACAAATTAGAAATCTGTTACATTTCTGTCAAATCTATCGAGAAATTTTTAGATACATTAAAATTCATATTTACTCAGAGCTGAATGAAACGATTAACATTGACTATATGACTATGCAACATAAAACTCCTTAGGATTATTAGCATATTGGGAATAAATAATCAGGGTGCCCTAAAAGTTATCTCTACACAGAAAGAACTCCATGGGTCCTTAAAATGGCCAAATTCTTCAACTATTCAAAAAACATGACCAAGATTTTACCTTGTAAATTTTTGCTTTCATATAGAATAATTCTATTAGAGTTGGAGTGCCAGCAATTGCAGCATTAATATAATCCAAAGCCAGAGAATACTGCCCAAGCTTATCGAAGTGCTGTGCCAGGAAGTACTGAACCCAGAGAAGTGTTGTCGGGGGCTCCTTCTCCCCATTCTCTGCAATCAAACACACACAATTATTACAAGGAATGAGGCAAAGTGAAGCAACTCACTTGCTTTCTTTCTCCCCGTGCATAATGAAATCAGTAACTATTACAAAAAAAAATCCAGTAAAAATCACCAACTTCAACAGAAAGAGATACAACCTCAAGTCACAAAGTTCAGAAAGCAGCAGCCAAGCAGAGGAATGATGCTGGTTTCACAAGCTTCTACCTATACCTCACGCCAAAGAAGAGTCTGGGGAGAAGAGGCAGATCAACCTAACTCGACAAATTCTCAGGCAGACAGCATTAAGGCAGCAGGTCCAGGAAAAGCCAGAGAAAACAGTCTGGAGAAAACATGTCCCTAACCACCACAGTAAAACATCCACAGAGGCAAGAACTGCCGGGGCTTATGTGGATCATCCAGGCCTCGACACAAACCAGGGAAACCCAAAGTTGAAGGTTATCAGGAGAGTACACTCTTGACAGTATGGCCACAAACAACCATCTGACCTCTATCTGGCTCCCCGTTCTACCCTGAAACTATAGAAAACATGAAATACCTAGCTCTCAAAATGGGTATCAGAAGGGAAGACACACAGGTATAAGATGAGGTAGGAAGAGCAGAAAGGAGAATTTACTCGTTACCTCAGAAGTCTCCTAGACTAGCTGACCAAATGAAGTGACAACGCAAACACACAAATTAACATAAATTAAGACACAAATAATAAATATAAGCAAAGAGCTAAGCATTTATCTTGCTCCTCTCATATACACTCTATTTCAGGGGAGGTCAAATGTCTGAGGAGGAAAAGTTCTTTTTAAGAACTCCAGCTAATTATTAATAAAAGCAGAAGGAATGATGATCAGAATGAAACAAGGGACCAAAAAAAATCACTAGGTAAGTGACCAATAAGAAACACTGCATGGCCAGATTAGGCTGACAAACATCTAAATTCTGATGAGTCTTAGTTTCAGAAAAAGAAAGACAACCAGAAGGCCTTTGGCTTTCAAATGTGCTATAACAGGAAGTTCAGAGTGTCACTGATGAAGTATTCACATAGAACCCGAAACTAATCAAGCTTATAAACCTAGGGGACCTCCCCAGAAGAACAGTGCTCAGGACTCTCTGCTTCCACTGCAGGGGCACGGGTCCAGTCCCTGGTCAGGGAACTGAGATCTTGTATGTTGTGCAACACAACATGCAAGACGGGGGGGAAAAAGAGCCTATAAATCTACCTTGAAGTTTGTCAGAAATATGGATGACAGCAAGATGTATTAAATGACACCATGAGAACACAGTCGGCGAAATTCAAAGCATGGTGCGTTACACAAGACAAACGACCTTTCAACAAACAGCCTTTAAAAAGGGGGGCGAAAGGAAGGACAGGACAGTGCCACTCAAGATGAAAAGAATATCAGAAACATAACAAACAAATGTAAACTGTGGACCTAAGTTGGATCCAGATTCAAATAAACTGATTATACATTTCTTTAAATAATCAGGAAAATTTAGGTGTTAAGATATGTGGTACGAGAGTTAATTTTGCGTAAGACACACTAAGGCTCCCCCAGTGGCTCAGCAGTAAAGAATCTACCCACAATGCAGGAGATGTGGGTTCGATCCTTGGGTCAGATCCCCTGGAGGAGGGCACAGCAACCCGCTCCAGTGTTCTTGCCTGGAGAATCCCATGGACAGAGAAGCCTGGCAGGCTACAGTCCATCGGGTCACAAAGAGTCAGACACGACTGAGCACATGAACACAAAAGTACAAAGAACAAAAACTAGGAATTCAGGAAAAATACATCTTAACGTTAACTACTGGTCTTGGTCAAGCTACTCAACCACTTGGTTCTGTTTACTCATATTAAAGTGGGTCTAACTCCCACCTCACAAGATTATGGAAGTTTTTAATTACTTTAGATTGCAAGTGCTCTTCTCATTTCATTCACTAATTCAAAAACTAGTGAACAGCTATCATGTAGCACATAATGAACATAATTTTACTGTAAGTGATTAAAAATGGACTGAAATGAGTAATCAAATTTCAACTCAATCTAATTTAAACTTACCATAAGGGCTAAAAAAGTCACACGTTTTAAGAGAGGTTTCATAATTAGTAACAAGCTCCTGGATTATGGAAATCTGTTAAAGAAACATAGTTTTAAAATTTAAAAACCTTTTATGAAAGTATTTTATTTATTATGGATTAAATTAGATTTGGAAACAATATACAGTTTATTTCAGAACAATAAATTAACTATAAATTGAGAAGCCTGCTTTCCCTGCCCCCACCCTCCATGCTGGAGAGAAAATGAGAAAAACACAGAAAATGTACTGTTCTCTTTATTAATAGTGAAACAGAATCTCATTAATTTCTCATATCAATAATTAGTTTCAAATTATGAAACTAATGGACAAATTATCACTAGTTACCACATACTCCTTTTATTCTTCTTGCTCAGTGAATACACCTGTATAATTTATTAACAGCTTATCGCTTTTTGCTCCCCACTGTTACAGGGTGAAGTTGTAAGAGATTATAGTCTCAGATTTTCTAAAATGTCAATACAAAAAAAAGTGAAATAATCTAAACTACACAGTGAATTGATGGAAGAAGTAAACTCGTAATTAAATGTTTAAAACTGTTTACAGTGATCATTTTAATCAATTTTCATTCCAATGCTATACTTAGGTAGGACTAAAACATCATAAGCTACACTGCAAACATGCTATGCCCAGAAAGTACAAAAGAAAAGTGACATGAATTAGAAGTGGCAGGAAAAAAGTAGCTTCTATGTACAGTTTGCTTTAAATGTCTGTTGATGTTACCTGTTCAGAATGCATCAGAAAATACAGCCATCTTATTTATGAACTTCAGAAAAACAGAGGTCAAAAGTGAAGAAAAACCATTAAAATGTATAACAGTATGTGATCAATATAGTATTATTTTAATACCATCCCACTGACAGCGGTCAAAAAAACAAAAGGTCAAATTAAAACACTTCTCAGGCCTATGTATCTTTCTGATAAGAATATTGCACTATGTGGTATAATTCTCTCAGATAGAAGGGCAATAAGGAATATGTGGGATAATATATTAGCAGTGGGGGAAATATGTAACATAAAAAAAAAAATGGAAGAATTTATACTCATTACTGAAAATATGACCAAATGCATTAAGGTAGTAGAAGATGAATACAGTCTTAAAAAAAAACAGTTAACAATAATGTTGTATTAGTAAGATATTTATAACAAAGATCATTTTAAAAGAATGGTTATTAAAGTCTGAATACACCTACATCTAGTAAGGAGACCGAGTAAGAAATCAAAACCTATCAACAAAGAACAGCCCTGGACCCTATGGCTTCAATGGTGAAATCTACTGAACACCAAACTAAAAACTAACACCAAACTTTCCAAAAAAAACTGAAGTGAAGGGAACACTTCCAAACTCATTCCATGAGGCCAGCATTACTCTCATACCAAAATCAGAAAAAAACACCACAAGAAAACTACTGACCAATACTCATGAAGCATACGGATGCAAATCCTCAACAAAATACTAGCATACAGGCCTCAGCAGCATGCTAAAAGGATCACCCACCATGACCAGGAGGACTTTATTCCTGGAATGCAAGGATGGTTTACCTTAAAAACTGATCAATATAACATGCCATATCAACAAAATTAAGAAAAAAAAACCCATGTAATTATCTTTATTGCTGCAGAGAAAGTATGTGATAAATTCCACCACTCTCTCATTATAAAAACACTTATTGAACTATGAAATAGAAGGAAATTATCTCAATATAATTGATGACAAATATGAAAAAGCCACAATGAACATCAGACTCAATGGGGAGAGACTGAAAGTATTTCCACTACTAAGATTAACAACAAGGCAAGGATGCTTGCTTTCATCACATCTACTCAACACAGTTCTGCAAGTCCTATTGCTGGAAGGCAAGAAAAAGAAAAGACATCCAAATTGTAAAGAAAGATGAAGTAAAATTTTCTCTGCAGATGTTTCACAAAAAAACAGTAAGACACAGAAAGTCAGTACACAAAAATCAGCTGCACTTTTCCACATAAACAATCTGAAAAGGAAATTACTAAATCAACTTCATTCACAATAGCATCAAAAGAATAAAATACTTAGAAATAAACTTAACCAAGGAAGTGAAAGGCTTGTACAATGAAAACTATAAAACACTTGCTGAAAAAAATTCAAGAGGACATAAATAAATGGAAACACATTCCATATTCATGAACTGGAAATTTTAATATTATTAAAATATCAATACTACCAAAAGTGACCTATTAACTCAATGCTATCTCCATAAAAATCCCAATGCTTTTTTTCCAGAAATAGACAAGCCCATTCTAAAATTAACATTTGGGCTCTCAAAGAAACCATATAGCCAAAACAATCTTTAAAAAGAACAAAACCAAGAAGACTCACTTCTGATTTCAAAACATACCACAAAGCTACAGTAATTAAAAAATACAGTATGGTACTAGCATAAAGACGGACAGAGACTAATGGAATAGAATCTAGAGCAGAAACAACGCTCACATAGGTAATTTTTTACAAGGGCATTAAGACCAATCAATGAAATAAAAGTCTTTTCAATAAATGGTATTGGGAAAACTGGATATGCACATGCAAAAGAATGAAGGTGAACTTAACCTAATTCCATATACAAAAATTAACCCAAAGGAAAAAAAAAAAAAAATTAACCCAAAGGACCAAAGACCTAAGTATAAGACCCAGAACAATGAAACTCTTAGAAGAAAACATAGGACAAAAGCCCTACAGTATCAGGTTTGGCAATGATTTCTTGGCTATAAATCCAAAGGCACAGGGAACAAAAGAAAAAACTGACAAACTGGACTTCATGAAAAGTGAAAAATGTGTACAACCAGATGTCAGCCACAGAATGGCAACCCACAGAATGGGAGAAAATGTTTGCAAATCATGTATTTAATATGAGGTTAGTATCCAAAATACATAGAGAACTAAAATTCAAGAACAAAAACCCCATTCAATAATGTTTGATAAAATACTTAATAAACATTTGTTAACGATATACAAACAGCCAGTAAGCACATGAAAAGATTTGCAACATTACCTGTCATTAAGGAAATACAAGTCAAAACTACGATGAGATGCCACCTCACACCCAGGAGGATGGCTATCTAAAAACAAACAAAAGAGAACAACAACTGTAGACAAGGATGTTAAAAAAAAAAAAGGTAAACTCTGTGCCCTACTGGTGGAAAATGGTACCGCTGCTGTGGAAAACAGTACGGCAGTGCCTCAAAAACTTAAAAACAGGACTACCAAATGATCCAGCAATTCTACTTCTGCTATATATCCAAAAGAACTGAAAGCAGATCTCTAGGAAATATCTGTACACCCATGTACATAGCGTTGCTCATAACTGTCAAAATGTGGAAGCAACCCAAATGTGGTAGAGACATAAGACAGGTATTATTCAGCCATGAAAAGGAAATTCTGCAATGTGTTACAACATGGATGAACCTTGAGAACATTATGCAAAAGGAAATATTCTAGTCACAAAAAGACAAATACCATATGATTCCACTTATATGAATTACTTAGTCAAAATCATAAAGATGTAAAGTTTAATAGCTGTTGCCAGGGGCTAGAGGGAGGGAAAAACAGAGTTACTGTTTAATGGGTACAGAGTTTTATTAATAGTGCCACAAGATAAAAAGAATTATGGGGGTGGATGGTGGTCACGGTTACAAAAAAAGCTGAATGTATTTAATACCAGTAAATCATACACTTAAAAAAATGGTCAACATCGTAAACCTTATGTTGTGTATTTTGCCAACAACAAAAGTGGTTTTAAAGGCGCAATCCTCTGACCATTAATATCATAAATGTTAACATTAGCATAACTGGTAATTTTGTAGACATGCAAATTTCTAAGCAAACCCCACATTTATAGAATCAGAACCTGAGTCTAGTAACATTTTTAGCAAACCCTCTATAAATAATTCTAATATACCCTAGGGTTTGAGAACTGATTTTTTTAAATGCTGCAATAAGACTATTACTATAAAGCAAAATAAAAAGTAATAGGCGTTTTTAAGCCATCAGAATTAATTTCACTCAGAGTATGTGTAACTTAAAAAAAAAAAACCTTCAGGTTCAACTTATGGAAATTCAGCACTCAACATATGGAAGCAAAAACTTTTTCATGAACTTATACTACCATCTACTGGCAGTTACTAAAACTGCAGCTAGAGTAGATTTTAAGCAAGGGTGTACCTTTTTGCATCTCTAGGGTGGAATACATTTTAAAAATCAGTTTTAATAATTTTAAAAAGCACAAAAAAATACTGAAGCTACACATAATTCTTAAAAAAAGGAGTGCAAATACTACTGAATAAAACAGAATCTCCAGCTTCAGAACTCAAAAACAAGACTTAATTGAGGGAATAAATCAAGGTAATGGAAAGTTCACATGAAATGTTCTAAATAAAAAACTGCAAAGATCACTGTCCTTTCTGGTTTACTGGCATATATATTGAATCTAAAAAATGTGTATTATAGTCACTCACTAAGTAATTAACTAAAAAATTCAATTTTCCAAACTTGTCTATGAAAGTTAGTCTAAGGAGTTCTACTGAGGTATAAAGGATCCATTTTACTTCAAGTTTACTTACCAATTATATTGCAATTATACTGTATAATTATATACTCAATTATATAGTTGTATACCATAACTATAGTCAATTGTACAATATAACTGTACATTCAACTTCTTTCTTCTAAAACTTAATAAGTAATGGCTATTCCTGAAAAGAGTATTTCCATTGGCATTTAAAATCAAGAAGTCCAATCTTACATTAGGCATCTAATATCACAATAAAACTTCAAGCCTCAAAATAGTTTAAAATCATACAAAATTTTCTATGAGCTAATAATATTTCAAAGTTCAACCACGTTCTCCTGATTTAAATACTTTCTTCTAACAGTTATATTTGATCAGGACTGAAAAAGATTTGCTTTTACTGACCAAACCCAACATGGGCAAATGTGACTACTGTAGGTAATTTCCCTAAATTACTGCCCTTAATCAGCTTTTCTTATATATGAGTTAGAATAA